TGGTAATCTTCCATTCACAGCCTGAAAAGGTTGTGATATATCCTTCTCCATCAAGCTGTCCTACATAAATCAAATTTATTTTGAGGCCTGGAATATGTCTCACTCCTTTCAGCTTCCAGGTGGTCTGGTTTGGCAACTTTAGTCGGATGTCTCCTTTTCCGAAGATCTTCAAGGTTTCATCATCAGCTAGATGAACCTTCCCAAAATCACCATTTACATAATTCTCCATGATTTCTTGGCATGGGGTGGAGTGGAAAGATGCCCCTGAATCCAAGATCCATGATTAAATCAGACTGTTGACGCTTAGAATCATGGCATCACCTGTCTCCTATGTTATGTTGGCAGATTCCTGTTTGCCGGTATCTTTCTTCAGTGCTCGACAATCTCTTTTAAAGTGACCCTTCTTGCCACAATTATAACAGGTAAAATCTTTCTTTCCCGTTCTTGATTTTTCCATTCTGGATTTCAATCTGCCACGATTTGAATTTCTTTATGAAGTTCTCCCTCTAGACTCTGTCGAATTTCTTCACTCAATACCAGATCCCAAACATCGTCGAATTTTAATTTATTGTTTCCCGATGAGTTGCTGACTGCTGTAACATTAGCATTCCAACTGTCTGGTAGAGATGACAAAAGAATTAAAGCTCGAACTTCATCATCGAATTCAATTTCCACGGAACTCAACTGGCTTGTGATTGTGTTGAGTTCATTTAGGTGTTGAGTCACTGGTGCCCCTTCCTCCATCCGCAAATTGAATAATTGCCTCATCAAATGAACTTTGTTTGAGGCCGATGACTTCTCATACATACTGGAGAGAGCCTCCATAAGACCTGCCGTGGTCTTTTCCTTTGCTATGTTGAAAACAACATTTCGGGACAACGTCAGTCGGATAACTCCGAGGGATTGTCTGTCGAGAAGAGCCCAGTCTTCATTCTTCATGCCCTCTGGTTGCTTTCCTAATAGAGGTTGATATAGATTTTTCTGGTACATAAAATCTTCAATCTGCATCTTCCAAAAGCCAAAGTCCGCACCATCAAACTTTTCAATTTTCACCTTCCCTTCATCTGCAACCATGGCTCCCACTCGAATCTGGCTTCGTTTGGATCGTTTCTGACAATTCTTGCGAACCACCGTGTATTAGAACATCTTCGTCGACAAATTCGTATCGTCGATAATTTTTTTACTATTCACGAAATTTACTATTTACGTGAATAGTTATGAATAATAATGAATAATAACCTCACAGAAAAATTGACAAAATTCACAACCAAAAGCTATGATAGTAGTTGTTGGGAAATAAAATGAGAATGAGTAATTTTCCTATAACCAGATTAGTGAGAATGCGAAATAAAAGTGAAAAAATAATACCCGAAATTGATAACGGAGTTCAGCCAATTATGCCTACGTCTCCGGACTGCTGCAGATCTTTTATTAAAGAGAGAAAAATTACAGGTGTTTACAAAACACTCACAACTCACAAGAAAACTCTCTAAACTCTTTAGTATTGGGAGAATGAAATGATTTGGGATGATTTTGAAGCTAAATGGGTTAGGGTATTTATAGTTGAAGCTTAGAGATTAATCTTGTAAATACCCTAAAAATGCAATGACTAAAGTTACAATATTTCTATTTCTATTTAAAAAAATAGCACCGAATTCGGTGCATTAAATCACCGAATTTTGGCCTACTTGTGCCACCTTCCATGCTTGACTTTTCAACACTTGAACCATTGGCTTTAATAAATTCTTCATTTATTTATAATCTTAGAAATATGAAAATTTTAATTTTTATTAGTTTAGGTAAATATAAAATAATATATGTTTAGAGTTTTCTTAATTTATTGACAATGAATGTACACATCTTATAGGCATATGTAGAGATGGACTGAGAAAGGGCAAACAGGGACATTCGCCTCCAAAAATCTAAAATACCATATGTTTTAGATTTTTTAATTGTATTTTTTATTGAAAATCTATTTTTTGTCATCTTCTAAAATTTTATAAGTTTACCCCCACAACATCAAATTATGCATTCATCCTTGAACGCAATTGCTTAAACCCAAAACTTAAAAAAACACTCTTTTACCATCGATATCACTTAATAAATTATAAAATTTAAAATTAATATAAACTATAATAAAAAATTTATTGATATTTTCATTAAAATAATTCACATTTATAATAATCTAATATATTAAATTAAAGTACATTTGTAACGACATATTATATAATTTTTTATCTATGTGTGTACCTTACTTTAATATATATATATATATATATATGGTTACCCAATAATGTTGTTGAAAAATTAAAACGTAATATTTTAATATGTTGACTTTGTATATAATATTTCCTAAAATTGATATAGACAAGGATTTATTCAAAATTAAATAATTAATAGTTGATTCATTTTTATTTTTAATATTAATGAAAACGATGCGTCGTCTTATAAAGAATGAAGCATTATGAACTAACCTAGAACTGAAATCGTGCGAATATTTTTTTCCATAAATATAATTATATATGTCATTTTTTCAATAATATTGTCATATACATTCAAAATTAAATTACTATATTTAAATAAACTTTTGACTTGACGTTTAGAAAGTGAAACTGATGACACCACGATCAGAATTCAGAGGTGGATATATTAAGCCGCACGACACAAGGGAGTACATATATTCCTATTATTTTGGAAAAATAATTATAAAAATTAATTTAATATGTTAAAGAGAAGTGATAAAACATAAAAGTTGCATATATATATATATATATATATATATTTTGAATCCTCGTTTTTTATTTTTTATTTATTAATCCATTATCAAACACAATAATCTATCTTAACATTAAAAGTTACAAATATATATATATATATATATATATATATATATATAGTGTAGAAAGTATAAATAATGTAAAACTCGTTTTACATTGTGTAAGTAGATCTTAACTCATATATATATATATATGTGTGTGTGTGTGTGACATTTAATGACAAATTACACCATTCATCATTAAATTATTTTCTCACTCATATTTTGATCATGAAATTTAATTTTTTAATTTAATCATTAAACTTTGATGACTCATCATGGATTGTTATTATTATTATTATGATATGACACATTTATTAATATTTAATGGTAAATATAATTTAAAATAATAATAATTATTAGGGTAAAATATACAAATGGTCCCGCGACTATAGGATATTATTTTATTTAGTCTTTCGACTATTAAAAGTTATAAAATAATTTACTAACTATAAGACGTTACTTTGTTGAGTCCCTCAATTATTAAAAATTATAAAATAGTCACCTGACTATAGGGTGTTGTTTTCTTGAGTCTCTCGATTATTAAAAGTTATAAATTGGTTATCTGATTACTCATATATTTCAAACTTATCCTTTTGGTAGTCGTCTGAGCTGAACATTAACTCGTTGACTGAGATATGATAAAATTTGAAAAGTTTACATTTTGTCATCGAGCCAATGCTTAAAAATTGTTTTTTAGAACCATCGCTTGAAAGATGCAGCGGTATTAGTGGACATCATTAAAATGTGATATTACCATATCTTGGTAAGTAGGTTATCATCCACCGCAGACTATCGTCAATTTTTAATGAAAAATATGAGTTTAAAATCTATGAATAGTCAAGTGACAATTTTATAACATTTAATAATTATGAGACTCAACAAAACATCTTATAATCATGAACTATTTTATAACTTTTATACTTGAGGGATCATTCGTATATTTTACCCTAATAATTAAAATCTCTAAAATACCTAAATACCACCCTCTAATCCCTTCTCGACCCCTTTTGACTCTGGTCAGTTTGACCTCCTCATCCAACCATTAGAACTTTTTCTGGAGTCGTTTTTCCCCGCCTATAAGGTGTCTCTCCTCTCCCTCTCCTCCTTCGACTTTCTCCTCTGATTTATATTATAGAAGAGTTTGTTATTCTGAGTTTCCTCGTCTGCCTGGAGATTCTTACATTCAACCTCCTTTTGAATCTGTCATCTTCGACCCCAAAAGCTCACGACTTTACTTCTCTTCCTTCAATTTCAGCTGTCTTTATCAAAGGAGACACTGTCAAGAAAGAAGAGCAGCACCTTCAAAATCCAAGCTTTGATTTCAAATCTTACATGATTCAAAAGGCCACTACGATAAACCAGGCCCTGGACTTGGTTGTTCCACTGCGTGACCCTATTAAAATCTATGCAGCAATCCGCTACTCACTTTTAGCAGGCAACAAAAGGGTCCGTCCATTGCTTTGTTTAGCTGCTTGTGAGCTTGTTAGCAGCCAGGAATCCAAGGCTTTGCCAGCAGCTTGTGTTGTTGAAATGATTCACACCATGTCTGATCCATGATGATTTCCCGTCCATGGACAACGATGATCTTCGAAGAGGAAAACCGACTAATCACCAGGGTTAGTGGCTGGTCAAGTTGTGGATATAAACAGTGAAGGACTAACAGATGTGGGGTTGGATCATTTAGAATTCATTCATGTCCATAAGACTGTTTTCTTGAAGCTTCTGTGGTTTTGGGGGCAATTCTTGGTGCTAAAGAATCAGGGGGAAGAATCCCCTGAAAACAAATTCCCATTCCCACTTCTCATACTCTCACCAAAATTCAGTATCTCCTAGGATTCTGATAAGAGTCCACAAGTTGTTAAAACAAAGAAAGAAAGAAATCAAGAATTGTTACCATCATTTGAGAATATTTCTTTGATAGAGTCCTACATCTCTTTAGAAGTTGATATCAATCGAACGGAGGCAACGAAAGAATTCAGCAGTCAAAATAATTTTTAAAATTTTCAACTTATAAACAGCAATACTATTTAATCAAATGCAAATTTCTTATAGAATATTATTATTTTTGAAATTTATTTAATGTTTAAATTCAGTTTTAATTATACATCTGGTTGCACCATTGATTGTTCATATCATCAGTTCTGAATATGAACGCTATGCAAATTTTACTCAACTGATATTCTTAAGGATTTAAGAACAACTTCATATCTTCAATATAAACAGACACCAACATGATTAACTGTAATAAGAGGACCAATCCCAAAGGATGATCAATCAAAGAAAGACTTTGTGACCTTTGTTTCCTTGTGAGACTCCCTCTCAGTGTTCTATAAATATTAACATGCCAGGGTTGGAGGATGAACAAGTATACAGTACCACCATCTGCAATCTCGTCTCCTCTCTTCATAAAACCTCTAAATTTCACGGCCACCATATTGGATTCTTGAACACTCGCTACTACGCGCAAGCTGTCGAAAGATAAAAAAGCCGGTAATATCAACCATTTGAACAGCTTAAAGTGCCAAAAATTGGATTAGGAGAAACAATATTTCTCAGGGCTATAGATTGGTAATTGATAGTCATGCAAATACCATACATAGATATTTTATCCTGCATTGTTTTCTCTCTTTTGCTATAATGAAGAAACTCATTTCTAGAAGTAAATCAGCTAATTGATCATCAAATGTTTTCAGATAAACTATTGGCAGAGGCATCATTGTCTTTGACTCTAGTAATTAGATTCACGGTTGAAGGTTCAATAGGTACCTTAGATTTGCACCTACCAAGGTAATAAAAGAAATGAAAGACAAAAAACGAAGACACCTTAGCCTCAAATGGAAAACACAGAAATTTCAGTTGAGATATTTTTATGGCATCTTGAGTAGATTGATACATATATGAAACAATCATGAAGTCAACTGCTCATGAATGAGATGGGAAGGCTCAATTAAGACTATAGTATGAAAAACAATATGAACTTTAATATTTTTTTTATAATTAATATTGATAACTTCACATTAAGCTTGGTCACCCAGAGAATGAGAAAACAATTAACCAGAATCTGACAAAATTCACTTGTGTTTAAATGACGAACATTCATACTTGATTTTTAATGCATGTTACCAAGCCAAATCTGCAATTAGTTGCTAGAACTTACATGCCTATGCACCATATTTAGTTAACTACCGTTTTTCTTTTTCTTTTAGTTGCTAAATACCCAATGCATCCATTAATAAACTTGATAGATTCATTCAAGACCACTTCAGCAACACTAATGGCTAACCTATTCATTCAAGAACACTTAAAAAGAAAGAAGGTTTAACTAATCATCATCACAATTATGATCACTCAAATAACACAGCTAAATGCAAATAACACTTCATCAAGCATACAATAAGCTAAGGAAAGGTAATTCAAGGTTCAAACTTACCAAAAGTCCAAGTAATTCTGGAAATGGGTCAGTGAAAAATATGGGTCAAAGAAACGGTTGAACAAAAGCTAATAACTTTATGAAACTTGTTAACGGGTGATGGCAATTGAGGCACTCTCCTCCAACTGCACTTCCCATTATCAGCACTGATTTCACAGAGACAAGCAGGGTACTTTTGGTGATACTCTTCATTGAAAACGTATATAAGATTACCCATCCCCACGCATTTCAAGCTCGCAAACTTGTCATCTTCCTCGTCATCAACTAAACTGTATAACAGGCTCTGAGGCATGAGGGAGACCTCACTCAATTCCATCGTCTTTTCATTGATTCTCCATATATTGAACGACGGCCCACGCGGCGCATTGCACATCCCGGCCAAAACAAGCATGTCATTGCACGAAATCATGAAGGAAAAAATGACCCCAGGTGGCCTCAGAGTTTGAACTTCGCTCCAAACGTGATTTTGCAAATCGAAAGAGGAAACAAAGCCAGAGTAGATCCCAAAGACATAGAACTTGCCTTTAAGCAAAGCTGATGAAAGGGACTGGCTGGAGTTCCCGGACCTGAAATCGGCCGGCAAAGCAGGGCAAAACTCCCAAGAATCGTGATTCGGGTCGTAGATTTCAACAGCCAGCCTATCTTCAATATCGACCAAGCCACCAATAAACCTGACCCCACCAACGACGATGAATTTGAAGACGCGGACACCAGAAGAACCGTCATGGAAAACACCCAGAAGAGGATTAACCCTAGAGTACTTCAACGGCGAGGTTAAATGCCAAGACGATTTGAGAAGTGGGGTGTAGCTAAATTTAGGTGTGGTAGTGAAAAGGAAGCCACCGGAACCCAAAAAAGAAGAGGAAGAGGAGTCGTCATGGAGGGAAGGGAGACGAAACCAGGAATTGGATAAAGGGTCGAAGGCAAAAGACTGGTTGTTTCTAGAAGAAGTGTTGTGGAGACCGAAGAGGAAGAACCAAGGGGAGGAAAGGGTAGGGGAAGTGAAAGTAGGGGAGGAAATGAGAGAGCGCCAAAGATTGCAAACCGAGGAAGCTCGGAGGAGGGAAGGGATAGGGAGTGAAGAGAGGATGAGCTCAGTGAGATCGATGCCAAGGGTGTTGATGTTAGGCTCTTTGGGGTTGTGATCTGACATTGAAGCTCTGGAAAAGGGTGAACAAATGGAAGGATTGATTGATCGGGGGAGAGAGGCAGGTGGAGAATGGAGAGAGTTCGTTGAGAAGATGTAGGTAAGGGAAGAGAGGTAGTTGACACAAGAAAATAGTTTTAAGTGCTATCGTCCTATATTATTATTTTTATTTATTTTAAAAAAGAACAGATTAGGAAAAATAAGGGTAAAATAACATATTGATCACTAAATTATCAAAAAAAAAATTATTTTAATCACTAACTATTTTTTGGGGAAGAATTATGCCTCAATGATTCAACTATGAAGTATGGGTGAGTATTTGGTCGAATTGAGTAAAGTCAACAAATTTTGACTAATCGAGTTGAAAAATCCTATTTTATAATTTATTTTTTTTATAAAAGAATATAAAATTTAAATATTTTTCAATGAAACATATGTTAAATTCATGTTTATAAGGTCAAAAAGGATCAATAGATTTTAGGATCTAACGATCATCGATGAAAGTCACAAATGATGATTGATATGGTGGTCAATGATGAATTCTATGAATGAAAATAACAAAGAGAAATATGAGAAGGATCAAACTGATAGGATTTTTAAATATTAATTGTTAAATTTATTAAATTATCTTGAATTAGGATTAAATTGATAAAATATATAAAATTTTATAAAATTAAAAAATATTATTATTGTTACATCATTATCCACTTTAAGTGTTAATCAAAGTGTTGAGTTAATCGAATGCCGAAATTGGCCAAGAGGGGGTGAATTGGCAATAAAAAATTTTGTGGAAGCTTTTGCAGAAAATTGAAAGTAATTGCACAGCGATTTACAGTGGTTCGACTTTCTCAAACAAAGTCTACGTCCACTACCTTAGCTATCCACACTAAGGATTTTCCAACAAATTCACTAATTTGTTCTTTCTTTTGAGGCCAAAGAGATAACCTTACGATTCCCTCAAGAGTATACCCCAACTCTTGAGAACACTCTTTTCTCAAAGAGAAGATTACAAATTTGCAAACTTACAAGAAAACCTCACAAGGTAAGATGTTTGCACAATTCTAGAATAAAGAAAAGAACACTCAAAGATGAATACAATTGAGCACAAAAAGTGTTCTTGAAAGCAAAATGAATATTGAATGAAAATAGGCTTGAAATGCTCAAACTTGAGGTTTGATGCTTTCTCTTTGATTCTCTCTTGATTCTAGTTGCTTGATGTTTCTTGTTGTTGATCAATGGCTTCTAAGCTTGCTTAAATACACCTTGGATCACTTCTGAACGTTGGGGATGATTAGAGAAGATATTATAGCCGTTTTAGTGTGAAAACATTTAATAAAAGCTTGGAGCGTGGGGGAATCGGTTCCCCCTTGAAGGGAATCGGTTCCTAAGTGTAAAATTCAAATATTTCGACCGTTGTACAAGGGGGAATCAGTACCCCCTTGGGGGGGATCGGTTCCCTCCGAGCATACTGGAATTCTCGGAACAAAACTGTCTAGGGGGGAATCGGTTCCTCCTATGGGGGAATTGGTTCCCTCCGAGCATTCTGGAAATCTCGGAGCCAAAACCATTTAGGGGGAATCGGTTCCTCCTATGGGGGGGAATCGGTTCCCTCTGAGCAATCTGGAATTTTTGGCTTTGAATTGGTTCGAAATACTTTGTAAGATTATTTTGAAATTGTTTTATGATTAAAACTTAATTTTACACTTAAGGATTAAAAATGATTTAGAAATATTTGGAGTAATGTTTTGATATTCGAATAGTTATATCGAATATACTTAGAAAATCATTTGGAAAATCTTAAAATCCATTTAACTTAATTTGTTATATCGAAATATCAAAATGTTTCAACAATCTCCCCCTTTTTGATATAACAAACATTTTAGTAATTTTAAGATTTTTGAATCAAGTTTTGAAATTACTCCCCCTTACTTTAACACTTCTTCAATTTATTATGTAAAACATTTAACCCTATTCTTCTCCCCCTTTTTGTTAAATCAAAAAGACATTGTAAAACAAGGTTTTGAAATCATTTAGCCAATTGATTTATTAATTATAAGCTTAAGCTACTAAGATCACAATCAAAAGAGAGGTTAGCCATTAGTTTCATCAATATTCATAAATAATGTGATATGGCAAAATTGGTCATATTGCTAATAATGATGTAAATGATGCAATAACGAATAAAACACACCAAACATAAGTTCACATTATCCATAAATCCAAAATCCAACAATCCACAAAATCAAACAATTCAAATGTTGAAACAATATTTTGTGTCAAAGTTTTAAAGCTAAACATAAAATCAAGCATCCGGATCGGTAGGAGGAAAACGGGCTCGCATAGCAGCCATTTCATGAGTTAGTTCATTAATACGAGCATTGGTTGCTTCATTGTTTGCACGCATCTCCTGAAGAATCTCTAATTGTTGAGCTCCCATTGTGGATAAATGAGACTCTATAGAGGAAAAGCGTGAATCCATTAGCATAACGGAAATCAAATGTCTCCATAAAGGATTGAAAATATGGAGGCATTTGAGTCGATTGTTGTGCGTGCTCCTCGGGTTGTTCAGTTCTTCTTCAGCTTCATCAATATCCCTCATTAATTGTTCAAACTCGGATCTTCGTCAGCTTCGGGTGGAGCTTGTGAAGAACTAGCTCCCGAGTAGAAGATCGAACCCATGCACCCGGTTTCCTTATTTTTGACCCATCCCGCTCTTGTTAAAGAAAGAAGATTGATTTGTTTCTTAAGAGGAAATGAGGCATCTAGACCAACTCGGAGTTCAGCTTTAGAAAAGAGATTACTAAGAATACAACCGTAAACTAGTGAAGAACAGAGTTTCTTATTTGGCACTAGGTTAACGGTTTCAACAATTTCAGCAAAGATAATCTCGGAGAGGTTTATTTTTATATTGTTTTCAAAACAGTGCAACCACCAAAGATCTAAAGCTCTAAGAGTTGAATATCGACCCCCGGATGTCGAAACCACCAAGTGATCATGAGATGAAGGAACACTCATGGAGATCTAAAACACTTGCACTATCATTACGTTTATATCGTGAGCCTAAAACTTGTTTTTCGTTTGATAAACCTTCATTATCCAAGCCTAAGGCATTGGCTATATAATCCGGATCAAGATGGAAATATTAACCTAGGAGGTAGGAACGCACTCCTATGGTTTTGGTTTTGTCACGATTTTTGATACAAACGGCATTACAGTAGAAGATACGAACAAGTTGATGATAGACAATGGGTTCAAGTTCGAAAAGTTTATCAAATTTCCATTCGTGCAAGATAGGGAGATATTTAAAGTTAATGTCAACCATAGTTTGAAGAGATGGGATACGTTCTTCCCTAATCTTATACGAGTCAAAATATTGGTAAAACCAATAACGATAATCTTTAGGACCCGGTTGATTGAAACAAGAATTTTGGATAGTCAAGTTAGGATCAAGATTTGGAATAGGATTTTGAGGAATAGGAGGAGGATTTGGTTGACGACTAGAATGACTAGATGAAGACCTAGGACATTTAGGATTTGACATGGTGAAGGAAATCAGAATAGATAGAATAACATGCAATTTTAAAACAAATGTATGCAATTCAATTAATCCCAAACTCAAATGAGTCCTCAATATTTCAAGATTCTCTAATCAATCTTAATGGCAAAGTTTTTGAAAAACTTTTGAAAAATATGGTTTTGAGAAACAATATATGTATAGTTTTTCATAACAACAACATAATTTAATCAAAACACAATAATTTGAAAAATAACATTTTTTTTATTTCGAAAATTTAAAAATTTTGAAAAATTCTGTGTTTTTGATGAAATTAGTTGTAACATCTAGTTTTCTAATCCCTAAATAAGCAATGCCCGATCACTATTTCAACCTAGAACTATTGAAACTAATCCTATGTTCAAAAACAATGAAATAGAGAGTTTAGAAAAATTTACCTTGAAAGATGAAGATTGAGGGGATTTAGATGTTGTTTGCACGATTTTAATGATTCCAACAGGTTTAGAAGATATATTTGAAGCGAATTCCGATTAATATCGATGATTTGAGGCAAGAAAGGAGATTTGAGTGTTTGAGGAGGGTGAGAAACGGTTTGAAGAAATATAAGGGTTTTGGGAATTTTGGGGTGTTCTGCCCGATTTTAACAGAACCCCAGGGGGTATCGATTCCCCTGTGGGGGGGGAATCGGTTCCCCTTCAAAGGGGAATTTCCCTCAGGGGGGATCGATTCCCTCTGCACCAAAATGCTAAAATCCGATTTTTTAAGCACAAAATGCTAAATTAATCTTTTCTAGTGGTATTGGCAACTCATATATCAAAAATTAATTATGTTCAAACAATTAAATAATCTTTAATCGATTTTTGAGCATAAATTAATTTTCACTAAGAATCACAAACTCCCCCTAACTAATAGCAAAATGCAATCAAAAATTATTATTATAAGCATTTTTCAAGATTTATTAAAAGTGCTAAAATTATTTAAACACTAAGTGAAGATAGGTTGGTCAAACCTAATTCTCTCCTAAGTGTCCAAAATCTTTCCTTGTCTAAGGGTTTTTGTAAAGATATCCGCTAATTGGTGTAAAGTATCAACAAATTCTAGAACTACATCTTCCTTAGTGACATGGTCTCTAATGAAGTGATGTCTTATTTCAATGTGCTTAGTTCTAGAGTGTTTGGATTTTTAGTGAGACAAATAGCACTAGTATTGTCACACTTGATAGGATTGGTACCTACTTCATTCCATAATCAAAAAGTTGTTTCATCCATAAAACTTGTGCACAGCAACTACCGGCTGAAATGTATTCCGCTTCAGTGGTAGATAATGCAACCAATTTTGTTTCTTTGAAAACCAAGAAATCAACATATTTCCAAGGAATTGACAAGTACCCGGAGGTGCTTTTCCTATCTAATTTGCATCCTCCATAATCCGCATCAGAAAAGGCATGCAGCTAAAGCTAGAGTCTCTAGGATACCAAATTCCTAAACTAGGAGTGTCCTTAAGGTATCTAAAGATTCTCTTAACAGCTAGTAAATGTGATTCCTTAGGACATGATTGAAATCTAGCACATAAGCAACACT